TATATAAAACCCTTTTCAGACTCGTACAATATTCTAAACAATGTTTCTAAACTCTAAACGCTCTAAAAGTCATGAATGTCATGATTTTAGCTCTCTGCCTCCTCTCTGCCAGCTGCACTCATCCACCTGCAAGCGGCCATGGCCACGCTCCCTTCCCCGCTCTGCACGTAGAAAGAGCTGATCAGCATTAGCAGGAAGCTTATCCTGCAGTAAGAGCTGCACAAAGGCAGGAGGATGCTTTTTCTGCAGCTCTGGGCTTCACAAAGATGCAGCAGGTGCTCAACAATTTAAAATAATTAATTTTAAATAAAAATTCCATGCCGATCGTGCAGCTCAGCCATCAATCATCCAATTATGTGTCATGTCCAATCTTATTTTGAAAAACCGCAATAGAGAGAGTCTGCGATAAACGAACCATGAAGCAGTGAGGGACTACTGTATAATACAGTGTTTAAAACATGTTAGTTAATAACATTTTTATGCTCAGCAGCTGTAATAATTAATTGAATATAGTGAATAAAAGTAAAAACATTCTAAAAGTTGATGTTTCTTTACGTATTTTGTAGCATTGTTTGTGGGTTTGCGAGGGGGGCCTCAGCCAGAAGCTAACGCTGTTTAGGGGGCCATGACATGGAAAAGTTTTGGAACACCTGCGTTAAAGCACTTAAGCTAATAAACCATCTGCATTCACCTGTTCCTGATGAAATCATTGGCTGTAGCCACCAGGTAGTTGTCCACATCAAGACCACTCAGATTATAGACAATCTGGGACGAGGGGATCTTCTTATGGGGGGGCTGGAAGTTCTTCTTACAAATCTACAGTTTACAGAAGACACAAATACATCATGCTTGACCCTGTTCGAATGCTCGAGGAGGCGAGGAAGAGAAGGGTGGGGAAACGAGGCAGAACACAAAAACCCACTCACACACACATGCTCTTACTGCTGACCCACTCTCACCTGTTTCTTCTGGGTGCATTTACAGACACTAAATGGTTCGGAGATGTTTCCTCCAGAGATCCAGCTGTTTGTGCTTCTTGTGCAGGCCCTTTAGGAGGAGAGAATAAATCTTTCACAAAGTGGAAGCAAGGTTCAGTGGATGTTTGAATGTTTGTGACGGTGCCAAAAGCCTGCCTCATGTCAAACTCACAAAGAGATTAAAAGAAAATGAAAACTGTGCAACAATAATGGTGAAAATTTTACGCATTATCAATAGAAAATAGAGTAAATTAAACACAGTTTGTCATGAATCATAGAGTAGCTGTGAGTTTGTGTGTTTTTTGTGAAACCAGGAGCTAAATATACTCTGATCACAGCTTTTCAAGCTGTTAAATGTGTGTTGTAATGTCATATTGTGTGAAACTTGTGTTTGTGTGGGCTGGTGCTCAGTTCCCACACAGTTTGTTGTTCAACAAATAATGTGAGGGACATTAATGATGAGCAAAAAGCAAAATGCAAAACGTCCTGCATGTGTGTTTGCAAAGTTATTGAATACGATCAAGTAGCGTAAAACATTAAAACATGAACAGAATTAAGTAATACAATTTTACACATTTATAATCAAACATGCAGCTTTTTTATTAACACCTGCCACCAAATGCCAAGTTAGAATGTTTTTGTATGTTAGTGTGTGTTTTTTATTTTTTTTTTGGCTGTACTGTTAGCAAAATATCTCATGAACAGCTAAAGAAACTTGATCAATTGTGTAATATTTGTGCTTAAATTTACAGCAATAAAATTACTATATAATTGCAAATTATCTGATTAACTATTAGAAGAATTTCAATTAAAGTTTTGAAAAAAAAAATTTTTGATGTACTTTTTTAACATTTAGTCTGCACACTTGGAGACTTACCACACGTTGCGAGATGTGGCCATTGTGAATTAAAACTGTCGTGAAAGGCAGAGGGCAAAATGCATTCCTTCAAGGAATGCAAGTCCTTCAATAATTAATTTTTTTTTTTTCCTCTACTTGTACGTTTAAAACATCCCTTAGAGGTCTGCTTCATGAGTGCCAACATCATTGATTTGAGATCTTGCACGGTGCAAATCTCCCCTATAAACACGAGGTGTTTATGGAATACAGATGACGCTGTCACATCGTAGAGCCCTGCTGCAGGCTTTCAGCCGCATGCATCAGGCTGAGCAGCAGGAAAATGAAGCGAACGATCACAAGAGAGACCAGAGAGAGAGCGACTGGAATTGGGGGAAAAGGCTGTCCAGTAAAAAGAGAGAGAGAGCAAAAGTAGGCATAGTGGGGGGAAAAATGGTAAAATGTGGAAAAGGCTGTTAGGGAAAATGAGTGCACTTTCATGAAATGAGAACAGCTGGAAGCGTAATTACGTACTGGTTATCAGACTTGTCGAGGCAGGCGCTATCGATTCCAGGGAAAGACAGCATGGTGTCCACCAGATGGCTGGATCTTGGATTTTGGTTACTGTAGAGTCAAAAAAAATTCAACAACCTTCACGTAAAGTGAACAATGTGAGGAAAATACATTTGCTAGAACAAATGCTAGGGATTATAAAGCTTCTCTAACGTTGAAAATATCACGCGGGCACAGTGACTCTACCAAAGACAGTGAAGTGGAGAGATGAAAGGAAACATCTGAGGACATTTGACTTGCCACTTTAGATCTAAGTGGACTTGTTTTGTTTGAGCCACCCCCTTCCATTCAACTCAAGGAGAATCCCACTCATAAATAAACATTAGGATCATTTGCATGGTCGATCCAGGCGCATTAGGAAAATAGAACTCGGAGAAAGTTGATAGTTATCGAGCTCGGTGATAATTGAAGTCAAGCACAGAAAGCCTTAAAATGCTTGTAACCTGCTCCTAACTCGCATCTGAAATCTTGTTTAAAGCTGAAAGGAACTAGGAAGAGCATAAACATCAGCTTTGAATTCAGACTTCAGGATCCCTCCCCTCCTCCATGTCCCCTTGATCAACAAGCAGAAGATGTGGAGAATAAAGACATCTCCCGACACTCTTCATCCCTCGTCGTTTGATCTGCTGTCAAGCCCGCTGCATCATCATCCTCCCAAACCCTTCCGTTCCCACTCACACGTTCTGCTTTAAGGTCCAACTGACCTTCAACAAACTACAGTTTCACCATCATTTTAAAGCAAACGTGATGTGTTAACCCATGCAAATATTGATGTTAAATAATTTATACATCCTGCAGCTAATTCACCTTTGGTTGAAAGGTTTTTTTTTCTGTTTAAAATTAAATCATTTTGACAAAGCACAACAGGTTCAGATATTAATTTGCAAAGGGAAATCATATAGAATAAAATGATTTAGACGTTTAAAACATTAGTAAAAACTAATTCAAAGAATGCCCTGTGCTAGTATAAATTGTTTTAGGTTGTGCATCTATTTCTATTAGACTAGCCAAAAAAAACAACTAATAACACAAATGAACATCTTTCCTTTTAATCTCTTTACCTAAAAACTATATATATATTTAAAAAAAAAAAAAAAAAACCTACAAGCTGGTGTCACCAACTGAGAAAAGTGATTGCACCCGAGTCTCTACTAGTCTGGAGCCCTGATTAGCCTGATTTGCTTTTGTGTTTTCTCCCCAGTGTTGCTGTGGTTTCCACAGGTTCTGACTGACCTGAAGAAAGAGTAACTTGGTCCGATGTTATAGAGCGCAGGGCTAAGCTCCAGCTTCTGATAGTGCTGCATGTCGCTCTTGATGGAGCCTAGACCCATAGCAATCATCACAAAGAGAACAGGAAGCAGGATCTGAGCCAGCAGGCCCTTCCAGTCCCTCCGGCTGTGGTGGAACCTCTTGATGAGCATGGCTGTCAGCTGCTGCCAGGCCAGGACCAAACCACTCTCCATGGATGAACTGGTCAGCTCTAAAACAGATTTAGACTGGATCACCAAAAAAAAACTGCACAATCCATCTGTAGACTTTTAGGAAAATATATATATATATTTTAGAAGGATGTGATGTTTTTAGGTGGTAAAAAAGGGCAAACAGAAAGAGTGCATGAGGAGAAAATAATAATAACTCACTGATCTTATCTCCAACTTGGCCAAAATCATCACTGAAGTCTGAAGGGAAGCTGTCGATAGATGCATTGTCTGAAACCGTCTCAGAGATGGACAGTGGCATCTCCTCTTTAGTGATTCCATTAGTCATTTGGAGGAAAACCTGCAAACAGATGTGAAAGTTGAAGTTTACCAGAACATTAACATAAAGCTGTTCTTTTTTCTCTCCATCTGGTTCCTCATGAGCTCACCTCCTCCAGTGTGGTGTCAGAAATGCCATAACCTCCCAGCTGCAGCTCGTCCAAGTTGGTGTCCAACGTTGTCAAAAGTGATCGGTATGAGGAGGCGTTGGATGAGGTGAAGGGGGGCAGAGAGTAGACCAGGTCACCCCCATTGGCTTCTGTCAGTCGTGCTTCAGGTAGATGAGCTTGGATGACAGACTTCAGTTCAGCACTGTCAACGGATTCCTTTACAGCACCTTGAATCTACAAGAACGAAAACATGGGGCTTTAAATTTAACTATCTATCCAAAGGTTGAGCATGGCTTGGGTTTTTCAGCCAATATCAATACATTCGACAAAGATGTGGCAACTTTTTGCGTTTTTATGGGCCTTTTGCTGTGGTGGCCATCTTGAATCAAGTTGACCCCAAAAGTTTATCAATCGTATAAATGTACATCCAACGATTGCATTCTGCAAGTTTCATTAATAATCAATCTTTTGGTTCATTGAATATAAAAGTAACAGACAGAAACACACACAGGTGCAGGAAAAGACAATTTTATTAACCTTCGCCTGTTGGCAGTGGGCACAAGATATCTCAAAGCAAAATATGGAATATCGTGTAGTTTATGACACTTGAGTTTTTCATCAGAGAAGATAAAAAAGAAACCAGGTTGCAAGCTAGGGCTGCAGGTGAACATAAAGTATGCTGCATAAGTCTGCAGCACATCATTTGAGAGGGGGTTTAGTCCATCAGCCAGATTTTCAGTATTTCAGTATTTCCACATGAGCGGTCAAGCTTGTCTATAATAATAGATGGTGCGATGTTACAATTTATGCTGGCCAAGATCTGTCCCTGTTAAGATGTGCCAGAGTCGTGCTCGTACTCCCTGGACGCTCGAGATAAAGGCTGTGGCCTATACAATCCCTCAACCTTCACATATGCTAATGTTATAACATGAAGCACTGGAAGAACACGACAAATTAGATTGAGAAAATAAAAGATTTCTGAAAATATGAATGTTGAGAAGGAAAATGTCAATATGAGAGTTTTGCTCAGTTTCTGTTGCTTTGCACTGACATGACTGCACGTCTGTGAAGATGATTACCTTCTTTGTGAGGGTGAGTTTGTAGCCTTGACCCAGCTTGTCTTTCAAGTAGAAGGGTGATCCGCAGCATTTTAATCCTCCTCTTTCCAGGAAGGCGATGCGGTCACTCAGTACTTCAGCCTCATCCAGGTGGTGGGTGGACATGATAATTGTGCGATCTGAGAGGAGACAGATGAAAAGGTGCCTCATTACTCACACAGTTATATATATATATATATATAGATATACATAAATATATATATATATATATGTAGTAGATGGGG